ATCTTTGCACAGGCCATTTCCTCTACTTGGAAAACTTCCTTCCTCCTCCTTTTCTGGGCCATTCTTTCTTCAAGACTCCATTGAAATGTCCCTGCCTGACATCCTGCCTCCCTCAACCTAGACGAGGATGGCCCCTTTATTACCGGTATTTCTAATTTAGCGTGCTTATCGCAATTGCAATAGTCTATTTAATGTCTGCTCCTTTCCCCACCACATATGCTGTGAGTTTTTATGAGAGCAGGATGTTCATCTTTACATTCCCAGCATCTAGTATAATGTCAAGAAGTTAGTAGGTGCTCAATAAATTATTGACAAATGTGATTAGCAGCCCTTAAGATGGCCCCCAGTTATCCCTACCTGCTAGTATTCATAGCCTTTGTATAATCGCTTTACCTTGAGTAACTTGCTTCTTAATGTGGCAATGTTGAGAGTATGTCGCTTCCATTAGTAGATTTAAAAAGATTGTGACTTTCATCTTGCCAGTTTCCTTCTCAGGTTATATACTTTGATGAAGCAAGCTGCCATGTTAGAAAAGCTCATGTGGCAAGGATGGTGGCCTCAGGAATCGCTGAGGCCCTCAGTCCAACAACCTGCAAGGAATTGAATTCTACCGACAGCCAAATGAGCTTGGGAGTGAATGCTTCCCCAGTGAGCCTTGAGTTGAGATGCCAGCCATGGCCAACACCTTGATTATAGCCTTGTTAGAACCCCTGGGGCAAAGGACACAGCTAAGTCCAGACTCCTGACCCTTAGAAACTAAGAGATAACAAATATGTGTAGTTTTAAGTCACCAAGTCTTGGGTGTAATTTGTTACACTGTAGTAGATAACTAGTAAGATGAATGAATGAATGAATGAATGAATGAATGAATGAATGAAACTGAAGGGCTCACCCAAATAAGGGGAATTTAAGATTTGGAGGAAGTGAACTGAAGGGCTAAGATAAAGGCAATTGCCAGGTATGGAATCTGAAGGTGGAAATTTCTGAAGGTGGAATATTGCATAGCCTTGGCCCACTGTTGCACCCATTACCGTTTCAAGACTTTAAATTCACTGAATTTACTGTTTTAAGATTGGTCTGAGCTTTTAGTTGTAATTATGAATGCTCAGTCAAATCCCTGGATAATTAGCCAGCAGATGGAAGCCATCTCACCCTAGAATTCTGGATTGTCAAGGCACAGCAGGGAGGATCGTAGAGACCAACAGAACATTCCTGACCCAATGGGTGAACCCAGTCTAAGACTCTGAAGCCAGTCAGGTCAAAGGCTGTAGCATTGGTAGGGAGGAAATGCTCTGAGGTGGGATACAAAGAGCATTCTCTGCTCAGTCCCTCCTCTAAGCAGGGAAAGACAATTTGGGGTATAGAATTGTGTAAAGTTGTTCATCTTCTATTTCAATCCAGAAACCTCAAGAAATTAAAAATCCAATTCAAGCTTTTAACACTATGATTGTTATAGAACCTGGGGAATCAATCGAGGCCTTGCTATTTAATGCTTAGGGCAGTTGTTTTAGCATAGTGAGGAAGGACATCCCATCTAGACAGTGTGGTATGAGATGGGCAGAGTGAAGGGAGTGATTGCAGATGTGAGGGCACATCCTCAGAGATAGGTACCAGTAGGCCTCTTGTTCACCTGCAGACTTCTTTTCACTCAAGCTTCAGCTACTCTTGAAGTTTTCCCTACCTGTGTCCCCTTTGAGCCACCACAGTTCCTTGCCCGGCCCTCTATAATTGCTCATCACGTGGTAATGCAGTGAGTCATTCACCCACATACATGAGCTCCCTCTTTAGACAGGGAGTTTACGTCTTAGTGACTTTTGTATTCTCAGTGGCTACTTCATGCCTGATTCATCGTAAGGATTCAACAAAAGTTTATTGAAAGAATGAGTCCTTGGGGATAACAGTTGATCAAGTTGTGGCCTGGGGACATGTTTCTCAAACTGGGATTTTCAGAGTCCTAGAGCTCCAGACAGGTGTCTCGGGGAAGCCCTTGAGAATGTGGGGGAAGGTGCTCCTAATTGCCCCTTCTTCTGTAACTCTCTTTAATCCACATGGGTTTTTTTGGGTTTTTTTTGATTTTGATCTTTGCACAGTTTATATATTAGGGGTCTACATCTGGTTCCATTTGAAAACAGTTCGAAAACTGCTAGAAAAATCCTGTAGGTGGAAGAAGGAAGAGCTTTTGGGACTATATGGTACACTATCAGCAGGATATTGCTACAGGATGAAGAGGTGTCAGGCCACTCAGGAGTATCCAAGCATGGTCACAGCCTCAAGACTGATTACAGGCTAGTAGAGAGAAGACTTGCAGGAGAAGAAAAAAGTGGTCAAAAGTGATCTTCCACGTCACTTCTCAAGTGCTTCCCTTTGATCTTTGGCTCTGGATTAAACTCTTTAATATAGCAGACGAGGACTGCTTCTTTCTCTTGCTTTTCCCACTGTCTCACTCTGTACTCTAGCTACTCTTCCCTCAAATGCAACATGATTTCTCTTGCCTCAGGATCTTTGCACAGGCCATTTCCTCTACTTGGAAAACTTCCTTCCTCCTCCTTTTCTGGGCCATTCTTTCTTCAAGACTCCATTGAAATGTCCCTGCCTGACATCCTGCCTCCCTCAACCTAGACGAGGATGGCCCCTTTATTACCGGTATTTCTAATTTAGCGTGCTTATCGCAATTGCAATAGTCTATTTAATGTCTGCTCCTTTCCCCACCACATATGCTGTGAGTTTTTATGAGAGCAGGATGTTCATCTTTACATTCCCAGCATCTAGTATAATGTCAAGAAGTTAGTAGGTGCTCAATAAATTATTGACAAATGTGATTAGCAGCCCTTAAGATGGCCCCCAGTTATCCCTACCTGCTAGTATTCATAGCCTTTGTATAATCGCTTTACCTTGAGTAACTTGCTTCTTAATGTGGCAATGTTGAGAGTATGTCGCTTCCATTAGTAGATTTAAAAAGATTGTGACTTTCATCTTGCCAGTTTCCTTCTCAGGTTATATACTTTGATGAAGCAAGCTGCCATGTGAGAAAAGCTCATGTGGCAAGGATGGTGGCCTCAGGAATCGCTGAGGCCCTCAGTCCAACAACCTGCAAGGAATTGAATTCTACCGACAGCCAAATGAGCTTGGGAGTGAATGCTTCCCCAGTGAGCCTTGAGTTGAGATGCCAGCCATGGCCAACACCTTGATTATAGCCTTGTTAGAACCCCTGGGGCAAAGGACACAGCTAAGTCCAGACTCCTGACCCTTAGAAACTAAGAGATAACAAATATGTGTAGTTTTAAGTCACCAAGTCTTGGGTGTAATTTGTTACACTGTAGTAGATAACTAGTAAGATGAATGAATGAATGAATGAATGAATGAATGAATGAATGAAACTGAAGGGCTCACCCAAATAAGGGGAATTTAAGATTTGGAGGAAGTGAACTGAAGGGCTAAGATAAAGGCAATTGTTTGATTATGTTTCTCCCAGGTATGGAATCTGAAGGTGGAAATTTGGGGGAAATTCTTTCAGAGTTTCAGAATCAGAAATTCCCCAAATCAGTGAATATTTCGTATGCCCAGGCACTACCTGACATCATGCATAAGAATTTGTTTTTGTAGATAAATAACAAAAATACATCCTCAATGATGCCGATTTGGATCCAATTTGTGTCAAAATGTACAGTCTGGCTTGGGAGGCTTTTATTTTAAATGGCTATATTTTAAATCTTGATCCAAGTGACCCTCTCAGAGCATCTCTGTCTCAGGTCTATTTGACTGCAACAAGAGTCTCATGTGACTTTGAAAATGGAAACAAGCATTAATAAATTGGAGTGAGTTAGTGGGATTTGATTATGTCTCTAATACAGATGTAAATAACATAAAATCTTGATAGAGCTATAAATATCAGCTTTATCAATAGCTCTCAACATTTATAATTTCCCAATGCATTTCAGAATGCAGACTCCCACCTTTTCCCTAGATTGATTTCCTTGCTTCAGAGTGATGAAAGGGTGCAACTAATACATATTTCGGAGAGCATTTGTATTCCAACATCCAGTTTTAATGGAGGTCTGCAAAGAAGTCTCTTTCCTACCTTCTTAAATCTCATATTTTTCCTGCACAGTTACACGTGGGAAATATAATTGGTGTTGGAGTTTCTCCTGGGTTAAGTTTGTTTCAGTAGGAACTACTAATTACTTTAGTAACCTGCTCTAACATTTAAAGTTTATTTGCTCTCAAATAAAAGGCATTTGTTCTTCCTGTTATTTATAATCATTTTCTTAATCTTCTCCTAGCAGCCAAATCTCATTCCGATTGCTCATTATACAAAGCTCATGTTTGCTCTGTGGAAACACATTTAATGGCATGGCACACCTTTGTGTGTATTCAAAAAGAAAAGGAGAGGACCCATTTGAATAAATCTGAATGGTGGAATCCTGAACTTAAAGATGAGTTATGGAGTACCTATTTGAGTTACAAATTTTTAAAAAAGTGATTAGATATTTATATAACTTACAAAGTGATCACCTCGATAAGTCTAATACCCATCTGACACCATATATAGTTTTTACAATATTATTGACTATATTCCCTATGCTGTACTTTATATTCCCATGATGAGTTAAAAAAAATGATTTTTTAAAAATCATTATTTACAGAGGGATGAATGTATTATTCCTTAAATTGTCCAGCTTCTGCAGAAGTTGCAAGACCAAGATTCTTAAAGCTGCAGTATTAGTGGCCACGGTCAAGAGGTAATAAGTTATTAATCGGAAGTGAAGAAAAAGTAGCCATAAAGTTGTAATGGGGGTTAATGGGGCTGGAGACTTACACATGTTGTGCTCAGGTGAGCTGAGAAAACAGATTTTGACTCTCACGAGCCCTCACCCACTGAGTCATATTAGTCTGCTGCAATAATTCAAACAATACTTGAGGAAAAATGCTTAGTCTTTCCAATTTCATTCTCCCCTCTGCTTCCATGAGGTGGGGCTGGGGGGAGGGACGTGTCACTGAGTCTTCATAAAACTAGAGGGGTTCTAGAATCCAAGAAGTATCCCTGGATGCTCCAATCCCTACCGTTGTCCACTGCCCTCCCTGCTGACCTTTGCATCCAGCAAAGTTGACTGTAGGTGTGCTTCAACACCTGGCCTCTTGGCCAGGGTTTGGGGGTGATTCCTGTCTACCTGAGTCCCCCCAGCTTCTTGCTCATGTTAGACCCCTTTTAGCCATGTCCTCTTTCTCGCCCCTGGTATAGATGAGTAACTCATGCTCTCTTATATAAAGTCATCTCCCCTTGTCACAGTAGGCCGCTCTCAACTTAGCTAATTTCTCTCCTTTCCATGAGGGATGGTCAGGGGCCCGCCCATACAATATGGGAAATGAGACAGTCACCATGCCACCAAGTTTACTGACGAGTAGTCATGTCCTAGGTTTGGTGCAGGGCGGGCTGCAAGGCAATCTGATCCCATAGTCCAAGCCATGAATGGCAAAGAAAATGTCCCATCCTTGGCATTTGTCTCCACAATTCCGCTGACTTCCCTAAAATGGAGAGATGGAGAACCATATCATTCACTTCTTGCCTCACATGACTTTATCTCCTTTTCCCACCATCCTTTCAGGTAAAAAAGGAAACTTCCTTTTCTTTCTCCTTTCTGAACACCCGAGATTTCCTCTACATCATATCCTCTTCCTTGCCAACTCCAGGCTCAAGGTTGAGACTTTATGACACATAGATAGTACATGAGGAAGAACTACTTACCCACAAAGGAACTAAGTCAGGAGACATTTCCAAAATATAATACCTCTTCTGTAAGTCAACAGGAAATACATCATCTGATTTGGAACAAAAATTATAACTTGATTCTTTAAATACACTTAGAAATTTATTGGATGCCAAATATAAGTCAGGCTTTGAAAGTGATGAGCTTTCTACTACATACTGGATGGTTCCATTCATAAGACATTCAGGAAAAGGCAAAACTATATGGCCAGAAAAATAGACTGGCAGTTGCCCAGAGCAAAGGGTAGAGAGAGAGGGTTGGAGACAAAAAGGCATGCGGAACTTTTGGGGAGTGTTAGAAGTGTTCATCTTGATTATAGTGCCTATTACGTATGTGTTTGTCAAAACTGGTAGAAATGTACACGAAAAGGAGTGAAATTTATTGTGCATAAATTAGACCTAAGTAAACCTGACTTCTATTTTTTTAAATGTTGAGCTTTCACGTTCCCAAGATTATAGCTGACACTTATTGAGTACTTACTAAATAACGCAGTGTTCTATCATTTTGATTGCATTAGTTCATTCAATCCTCACAATAACTCTAATTGGAAGGTACTATTATTATCATCATCTCCTTCTTATTGATAAGGGAACTGAGACCTAGAAAAGTTAAATAACTTGCCCAAGACCACACAATGAGTACAGCCGGATTTCAAACGCAGATTTGTATGATGCTAAAGTCTGTGCGTTTTACAACTGTGTTAATTTCTCTACGTCGTATATGGCCTCTCAAGATAAGTAAGTTTAGGCTGATAAATATTCAAGGTGTAAACTGGTAACATTTATATTTACTTGTATCTTAACCTTCTTAGAGTCTTTTTGGTTCAATCGCCTTTACCCTCAGATTAGAAAGTAAGTGGTACACCCTCCCCCCATTTCCCAATTCCCATATTTTTCCAATTGCCCTAAGTCCAACATCCTCAATCAGATGGAGAGATCCATTTGTGTTAGTAGCCTTCCGTGAGCCAAGAATAAGTCAGATCTGGGTGACTGTTGGGTAGGAGGATCCCCTGGAAAATTTTTAGGGGTTGTGTGACCTACTATATCTCAAACTCCTGATCAGGACCCCAACCTATATTCTAAACTGGGGGTTCTGCAGTTCCATCTCAGATATCACTGTAGCCTGGCATAACAAAGATGGCAGACTACCCCCTCTTGCAGAGAGTTACCTTCTCAAGTCTGCATTCACACACTCAATTTGCTCAGCTAGGGACCTTGGATCAGAAGTTGACAATGCAAACACAGTCATCCACACCAGCAAATTCTACCTGTGTTTTCATCTTACTTGCTTTATTTAATGAGTCATTTGGTTCTCCAATACCGCTGACAAGTCACTGATGTCCATAGGGCCTGAGGAAGGTGCTTTGGAATCAACCACTTAGGCCACAGCTTAACTCATCTGTCATCGTCCTTTATCGGGCCCCTGGACCAGAGGGCAGGGGGACTTATAATGGATGATTTGAAGGTCTATCAGCTGGAAAATGCACTTGTCCCTAATTCTCACTATTAAGGGGACCTGTTGGTACAATTGGTCAATTTATGATAAAGATGCTGAAGACTGCGACAAGGTTGGGTAAGTTTCAATGGGATGGTAAGAGGGGGAAGTATGGGATTTAAAGGAAGGTTGTAGACAGGGAGCCTTCCCTGAGTCGATAGAGAGCCTCAAAAAGTTGCTCTTGAAGTAGGAGCATCATGAAACTGAAAACAGAGGATGAAAAATAGTTGAGGAGATCCTTAGAAGACAAATTTTGTCTGCTCACCATTTTGCCTGGAATGGAAGCTATCTGTGCTCCTTTAAACTGTTATCAGATGTTAGTACTTCTGTATAAAGGAATTTTTCCCTTTTAATAGAGGAAGCCATTAAAATACTAGACACCTGATGAGAATGGTCATGGTCAAGGAAATAAAGGGCATAGAGGAACAAAGAAACAAAAAAATGCAAATGTTGTTTATATTTACCTTTGCAGCCCATAGCATGAAGATAAAGATTATTCGAAATTAAGTGGGATCGGCAAAAAAGCAGCAGAGAGATCAGCCACAAAAGTAAAAGACGACAGAATTCATTCCCAAACAGTGGGCTAAGAAGGGGGCCCTCTGGTAATTTCATTGCCCCCAAAATTAGAATCACATGCTTGAAACCTGGAAAGCCATCTTATACCTTTACATATAAAAGAAAATTGCTACCTTTAGAGTTGTCTTTTTTCCTGTTTCTTAGTCATCTGTTTTGTTGTTTCTATCCTCCTAAATCGTGTTGCTTCAATATTCTTTCATTCTATTTTACATACAGGTATTGGGCGTCCACAGATGCAAACATCTTTGCAAAGATGGGAAAAGATAGTAATTTCCTAAAATTTCTCTGTGCTCTATGCTCAGACCATTATAAAAGAAACATTAGTGTATTCAAAAAGATAAGTACCTGCTGTATACAAAGCACCGTGCTGATAAGAGAGGACTGTGTTTATTCAAAGTTATGCTGCACGAGCACTTCTGAGGATCCGGACGCCCTGATTTAGAGGAAATGCCACGGGACAGAAACTGATTTATGAAAATTCCATTTCCATGATTACTTCTGCCCTCTCCAGCCTCCCTTCCCCAACTTGCCTTTTCACATCTATAAAATGCACAAGATCACAGTTTATTGATTTAGGTCATCTGCTCATTAATTTGTAAACATGTATCAAGATGTCAGACTGTCATTTATACAAATGGGACTTGCGCAGACATAGAAACTAAAATAAATCAGACCTTGTTTGGGCTAGCAAGCGGTCAGTATGACGTCAAGAGGCAGAGAATGGGTGCTCCTCCATAGACGCTCTCTCTCCTCCCTTCAGTGCCAAACAGATGCTCCGCTGTCTCGGTCCCCTTAACCCCAGAAGACTGTCTGGGTTCAGTTATCTGCAGAGTGTACCGATATATACAGTATCAGCCCCTAGATGTTAAAGAATCCATTCTGGTTTCTAGCACCAGGGAAAGGCCTATGAACTTTGACAGTACAGTATGTTTTAAATTTAGCTTCTAAAAAATAAAAGCAACACAAGTTCATTTGTAAAAAAATTTGAGAAATACAGAAAAACACAAATAATAAATAAAATTTGCCTTTAATCATCTAGTAATTTTATACATCTATATCAGTTAAAGCTAGCTTTAATAATGTATTTTAGAGCAAAAAAAAAAAAAAAGTAGTTTTAATACTATCATTTCTGCTTGTTCTATAAGATTGCCCAAGACTCTCCATGTAATCCTCATCCTTTGACCTACCCTCTGACCTGATCAAGTATGAGACCATTCTCGGTGGCGGAGGAGGGCAGATTAAAATTCTAAATACAGTATCACAATTTCTTCCTAATTTGGGGAATTATGTAAAACATTTTCAGGAAATGCAATTTCCCTGTTTTTATTTTATGACTTTGGTGGGAGGAGGTGTGTTTGTTTAGGAGAATGTCGAGAAAAGGACAAGAGTCTTTCTTAGTCCGGAGTGGTCTTATCACGAGCAGTGACATGTTGGAAACACAGTCTGGACCCCTGATTGAGAATCTGCATTTTCACAAGACCCCAGGTGCTTCCAAACTGTGCACCTGAAGTGTGAGAAGCACTGGCCCATGGACCCGCTTCCTGGCCTTCCTCAGGTGGTATTGATTGTCAGGATTTGTACATAACGTTCACACCTCCTTGATGTTGAAACCAGCAATAAAAATCCCACCTCATGGAAGTAAACGCCTTTTGCGCAAGCCACGGCCCTCGTTCTTTTAGGAAAACTCTTAATGTATTATCTTCTAAATACCCTGAGAGTTGCAGGGCAGTCCAAATGGAAGTCAAGGGAGGAGGGCAACCCTTAATTTTGCCTCCATCTCAAAGTCCATTCCAGGGTCAGGGCTGTTGTGTTTGTGGCCCCTTAAGCCATAGTAAATTATTCACCCGGTGGGGGGACATGAGAGACAGAATCGTGTTCGACAAAGCTCTTCAAATTCTGTTGGAAAAAAATTGACAATAATCTCACTCCCCCTTCTCTGCCACCATACCTACTTTTATTCCCTGCCTCAACTGATTTATTTAACCTTGCTTGTCCACCATGTGGCCCCAGGAGCCAGAGACAAGGCACAGGGATTGGTGATGACCCTAATCAGGGGAGCTGCCCATAGAGGATGAGAAAGAAATGACAGAAGCCTAAATGGTCCTATCTGTCTCAGCTGCCAGCCACACCATGTGTGTGCATCAGCATTTATGTCACACCAGCCTGGGCGAAGCCCCCCAAATGGCTGCTAACATTTGGCCTTTGCTTGAAATCTCAAACTAGGAAGGTGTTCCCAGGCAGCCATCTGAAACCACTCGCAAAAATCAACATTCCCCTTTCTAGGACTAGTGGCCCCCGTGTGAAGTAACATTCTTTTCTTTCTTCTTTTCACAAATGTGATAGGTGTCACAATGTCTTTGTGCTGGGATACCATGGCTCCTTCTGGTTTCTGGCACTGGGTCCTCCTCTATCTCTTGGATAGCATCAGACAATCCTACTGGCACCCAGCCTTGGCCTTCGCTATCAAACGCTCATCTGGCTCCTCTAGCCTCTCCACTCTTGTGCCTGGCTTCTTAAGCTCTGGGGGACTGATCAGCAAATCCATCCATGGAAGCATACGAGACACCTATGGGAGTCCAGTGCCTGATGCCACAGGGTAAAGGATGAAGGATGGTTACAAATGGCTTTCTTCCTGATCCTTGGGGAACTTACAAATATCACCCAATTCGTCCTGGCAACTCTTAGTCATTTATAGAGCAAGCAGCTACAATGGTCTTTTATTTTCCAGAGGTTATGGAGCATAAGTGGTTAAAAACTCAGGGGCTGTAGAGAACTGCATTCAAATCCTGGCTCCCCATCAGTTGCTGGCTGATACAGCTTTGTTTTCTGAATATTTAGTCCTCAACTTATACTTCTCTAAAACAGAGATAATACCATCCTAATAGGTAATTAGCTGGCATTTAGTGAATGCTCAGTAAAAGGTAGCTGTCGTCTTTATTATTATTACTGAAGACTGGACAGCGAGTCATGCCAGATAACCTAACAAGTCAGTTAGGTTATCTGGGTTCTAGTAACCCAGAAGACCTGGGTTTCAGTTCTGGATCTGCCTCGAGTTAGCCTTGTGCTAGCCTGTGTGCCTCAGTTCCTTCAACTGTAAAATGCAGGTGACACTATCTGATGTTTTGTCCCCGTAGCTAATGTTTATCACATGCTAACTGCGCTGGGCCCCATTGCAAGCACTTCTCGTGTTTGTTAATCAAGCCATAGAACAGCTGAGACCACCAGAACCCAGAATGGAGGGATAGAGCGCGAGAGTCCTCAGAGGGAGCACGACCCTACCAACACTCGCTCTTGGGCTTCCGGCCTCCAGAATTGTGAGACCCCCAAATTTCAGTTGTTCTAAGCTATCCAGTGTGTGGCACTTTATATGGTGGCTCTAGGATGTGTGCACACTAAGGTCAAGGACGGCGGAAATGAAGGTGAAGAGGGAGATGAGTGGGAAATTCAAGGCTGATGACAGGTAATAAGAGGATGCCGGGAGGGCCAAATACTCCTAGGTGTGCATATATGTGTGTGTATATGTGAGTGTACACACATGTATATGTATTTTGACAGCGTGAAAACTGATCTGTGAGTTCATCAAGCCTAACTGGAATGTAATAGAATAATAATACAACTGGCACTGTTTCCTCTATAAGAAAATCACACGAGAGGCAAAATGAACATTCAATCCTCTTCCATCTCCCCTGAAACAGGTGGGAAAGGAGTCTTCTCTCTGAGATCATTTAATCAAATCCAACCTCTTTGTTCTGCAGCAGAGGAAGTGAGAAGCGGGGAAGCTACGTTCCCAAGACCCTTGCACCAGCGAATAAGAGAAGCGGGGTTGGATATCAGGTTTTCTGACGCCTAGCCCGGTGCTAGTGCCATCCTGCCTCACTGACCTGCAGAGGCTATTTTTGGATGACACACAGGAATTCATTCACTCTTCCTTCACGAGATTTACTTCGCAAGATTCCATTCTGGTTCCTTTTTTTAAGGTAACTTTTGCTTAAAATATAATATACAGAGACGTGCACAGATCATAAGTGGACAGCTCAGTGTGTCTACGTCTGTGTAAGCAGGACCCAGACAAAGAATTAGTACTTGACTCGCACCCCTGAAGCCCTCTTGCCCCTCCCAGTCACTAGGGACAACAAAGGAACCACTATCCTGACTTCTAATATTACAGATCGATTCTGTCTGTTTTTGAGCTCGATATAAATGGGATTTCACAGTACTCTTTTGTGTCTGCCTTCCTTTGCTCCACATTATGTTTGTGAGATTTGTCTGGGTTTTGCATAGAGTAGTTCATTCTCACTGTGGTAGAGTATTCCATGGTTCTGGTCTTTTGAACCAAATCAAGAGGTCCACTGAGAAGCATCCTGAAATCATTCAAGCTGGTCCTTAAAAAAAAAAAAAAAATGTTAAAGCAACCGAATTGCTGAAACAACAACAAAAAAAGTTGGTTAATCTTTACAAATTAGATCTAATTTATTGGCCATCTGTTAAAAGCCGCTTTCCCAGATCACTGCCCAACCCCCTTTCCTTTTATGTTTCTCTTGATTCTCACGTTCCCAGCTGTGTCACACTGGGCTGACCCAGTCCCGCCTGATGGTGGGGGGTTGGAGGTTAACTAGCTGTGTTCTACCTGGGTGAACCCATCTTGACCTCAGGATCACTCAGAGCCTGGACTGTGCCTCATCTGGCCAGTATGGTTTCTGTCCCTTCAGCAGCATCGTAGCTACCTTCACTTACAGTCAGGGAAGCTGCCTTTCTCATCTGAAAATTTGGAGTTACTGGTCTTGTCTGAATCAGCTTCAGGATAAAGGGCCTACAGCCCCAGGCCAGCCAGAGGCAGAATGGCATCTGCAGAAGGGGGCTGGTCCTCCGGCGAGTCCCTCCCCTTGGAACCACTGCTAAGAGTCACTCCCACAGCTTTCTCAGACTCTGGCCTTCATTCCCAGGGCAGCTAGGCTGGAAAGGGGCTGCACCCTCTTTTTTCATCTTTTCCCTGCCAGACCACAGTTGGCCCCGATTTCTTCATGCTGACTAACCTTCCTGGGGTCTCCCTTTTGCTGGTAACAATGATCTAATCCCAAAATGCAATTTTAAGGGAGCCCCGAAGCAAATCAGCGGGACCGCCTTCCCAAGCCTGAGTCCATATATGGTACAATCCCTGAACCAAGACAGGGAGAGTGCTGAGTGTAATGCAACACAGCTGATTCACCAGCTGTCCCTCTCCCTCCCTAAACTGTGCCTGCCTACTCCAGTTTCCAGTGACATCAGCACTGCACCCATAACAAAAGGTTAAGATAGCCAAAGTGCAGGACTTCTTTGAGTCTTTGGGAAGCTGCAATTTACTTGGAATTTACTGCAATTTTTACTTATTTCTCGGCTTCCCATTTCCTGGGAGGCTGTCCTTTCTGGAATGTAATAGAATAATAATACGACTGGTACTTTTTCTTCAATACTTCTGCTACGGGCAAGGAGAGGAGACAGTTATAGCTCGGGGACTTGCTCAAGTCCAGTTGCACAGGACCGTTTGGAACAGGAAGCAGTCACAGGGCCCCACCCGGACGCTGGGCAGTCCTGCATTCACAGCCCTTAGTTGGAGCCTTGGCTGTTCTTTGGTCTCCACCCTCAACTAGTATTTATTTGTTTAGCCTTAAAAGTATGAGCGATGGAACCAAGAAATTCTCAGGCACAAGAAAGAATATGGGATCTGGATTACCAGCTCTATTCAAAGTTCATTAGTGAATAATCATATTCTTTTTACTAGCATCCACACCACCATTCCAGTGCCTATTAAAAGCAAAGCCTCGGACTAGACTCTAGCAGTGGTGTGCTGGAGCCAGCTCAAACCAGTCATGAACTTAAGTGTTAAATTTTCAGGAAATCTGCAAGCCGGCTGTTAAACACCATAATTATTAAAGACTAAGTTACATAAAATTAAAATTGAATAAATTAGATTTAAAACAAAGGTAATAAATAATCCAAACTCATTTACTTCCTGATTATTTCACTACATTTTACCATGATTTGTGTTCTTGATGTTATTCACCTCTATTGTGTCTGTGTGGCAGAAATATCATATTATGGTACTCACCGTACTTCTGCACATCTCTTTTCCACTCCTTGTTTGGTAATGTCACATTGGGAGCTTGAAGTCAGGCATGATGGCAGTATGTACATGGAAAACACTGCAAATCAGAGCTTCTCCCTCCAGGCTCCCAGGGGCAGTTGTTAACTTTGACCAGCACGCACTGACTCTGGCAGGGTCAATAAAGAATGACTTATTCATTCCCTGCACTCAAGGTGCTTATACTGCAATGAGGGAAACCAGTCCTTCAAGACTTGAGTTGGGCAGTGTCTCCTCTAAAATGTCAAATGGAAAAGTGAAAGGGCAAGGGCTTACCTATATTAGCATCCCAGATCTGCCACTTGATGGTCATGTCACTCAAGCCCAGGAATGGTGAGTAACTTGCTCAAGGTACCAGGCTAGTAAGAGGCAGACCCAAGATATGCCTGGGGCATGGCACTCTGCACCCACCTGGCTGCCTCTTCTGGCATGTCCTGGGGGTAGTGGGATTCTTGGATTCCTCTGCCTGTCCTTAGGTGGTTTACTTCAGGCCGGCCATGCTCATTTCTTAAGTCTCTGTGGGGATCAGGTAAGTCCCAGGACAGACATGACAATTGTTTTCACCTGTCTTCTGTTCTAATTCATCCGGTCATTAAACATTTTAAGTATCAGTCAAAGGTTCCTAGCCTCTGGCTGAGCTTCTGGAGCTCAAACCTGGAAAATAGTACTTACCATACTTCATCAAATCTGAGGTGCCTTTGATTGCAAGATAAACCATTATTTTACAAACCACTATTAAAGAAAAAGTGCTGCCAAATAAATAATCACATGTTATCAATTGTAAGAGCAATGTTAAATCAGTAAAATGTTAAAATGAGAAACAGTGTGCATCTTAGAATCAACTATAAATCTTCCACCAAAGGTAAGGATTAACTCTTAAGATGCTATCGGCTCAGTCATATTGGCAGGAGAGGTACTCATGAGTTTCTAGGAAAGACAGAGGCCAAGACAGAAAGGTGAGAGTGGGCTCATGGAGCTCCTTGAAGTCACACTAAAGGATGCAAAGTTCCTCTAACAGGCAATAGCCAGTCACTAAGGGGTTCTTGGCAGAAGAGTGTGACTTCTCTAATCATGTGGCCCCTGGGATCTGAAATAATATTTATGACTCTGTCGACGTAAAAATGTCCAAACCTGTAGAGAATTCTTGTAAAGGTTTATATGAGCCAAACTGACAACACCCTGGGAGGCAAGATCTCAAATGCTCCGGAGAATGACAGTTTTGCGGTTTCTTTTATACATTTGGAATTAAGGGGGGAACATAGGGAAGATTACATGGAGGTGAGATAAGGCAAGGTGCAGGATAGTTAACAAGGTTATGTGCTCCCTTGAGGGTGGTTATACCACCAAGGGGTATAACTACACTAGCATTTCAAAGGTATATTAACCTAGATGCACAAGAACAGTGGACAGGGATTGCTTAAGCCAAAGATACACTGTTTACTAAAGAAGTTATATGCCTGGGGTTTGACTACCCACCATGACCTACCTGCCCAGTTAGGATTTAATGATCAGATCACCCTGTGAGGTTGCTTCCAATCACTGAACTTGTCAGATTTATTGCAGAGACCCTTTTTTATTCACATGTCTCATATCAAAGCGTGAACTGTCACTCCCCTCTTGCCCAAGAGAGTTGGACCAGAGCAACTGCTGAGCTCAACTGAGCTTAGCACTAGCGAGTGTTCACTCCTGTTACAAATGAGGATGTACTCAAAGGACAGCTCTCTTTTAATAAGGAGCTCAGGAATTCCACTTCTGGGTTTTTATCTGAAGAAAATCAGAACACTAACTTGAAAAGATATCTGCATCATTGTGTTCATTTCAGCATTATTTACAATAGCCAAGACGGAAACAGCCTAAATGTTCATCAGTGGGTGCCTAGATAAAGAAAATGTGGTATATATACACAATGGAATATTATTCACCCATAAAACCCCCGAAATCTTGCTATTTGCAATGACGTGGATGGATCTAGGGGGCATTATGCTAAGTCAGACAGAAAAGGATGAATATTGTCTGATCACAGTTATATGTGGAATCTAAAACCAAAAACAAAAAACCCAAACCAGCTCATATAGAGAACAGATTGGTGGTTGCCTGAAGCAAGAGGAATGAGAGAAAGGGTCAAAAAGTACAAACTTCCAGTTATAAAATGAAAAAGTCCTGGGAATGTAAGTACAGCATGGTGACTATAGTTAATAATACTGTATTGCATATTTGAAAGTAGCTGGGAGAGTGGATCATGGAAGTTCCTTTCATGAAAAAAATTTTGTAATTATGTATGGCGATTGCTGTTAACTGGACTTATTGTGGTGGTCATTTTGCAATATATACAAAAATAATTACATCGTAACCTGAAACTAATATAATGTTATGTCAATTATACCTTAATTTTTATAAATTATTATTGACACTTTAAAAAAAAATAAGGGGTTCAGGTTAACTCATGTTGATGTGCAGGGTCTGTGTGTCCTCCAAGTCACTGAGTGACGTACAAACTCTGTACCCACCCTGGAACTCCGCCCTGGGAACCCAAAGGCCTGGTCAGGACAGAGGGAAACATTACACAGATGGAGACTTTAGGGGTCACTGAAGTTCAATTCTGCCACCTACTTCATCCCTTTACCTGGGACTGGCCCTAAGTCCAGAAAGTTTGGAGATCTTTCTGAGTACCTTTATAATTAAGGGAAAAAATATCACAGCACCACATTAGGGAAGTGCCCCAAGAAATCATCTCACTGCCACAATTTTTCTGATTAGGGAAAAGAGACTTAAAAAATGAGCATGGCTGGCCTGAAATGAACCACCTAAGGAGAGGCAGAGAAATCCAAGAACCCTGCTACCCACAGGGCATGCCAGGAGAGGCAGTCAGGTGGGTGCAGAGTGCCATGCTCCAGGCACACCTCCAATCTGTCTGCCTTTTACTAGTCTGGGGCCTTAGGCAAGTTACTCGCCATCTCTGGGCTTCCATTTCCTCTTTGTAAAATAAGGCTAGTAATAGTGCCTACTGCAGAGGGTTGTTGACAGGATTAAATACATAAATCCATGAAAAAGGCTTAGATAATCGCCTGCCAGCTAGTAATTGCTCCATAAAGAGTGATTGTTGCAGCTATTCTCCCAAGTCCTAGGCTGTCTCCATCACCTCACTCCTGCTATCCAGCAGGAGGTCTGAACTTTGAGACTGAGGGACAGAGGCATCTGTGGAATTTGCTCCCCTTGCTAATCTGGCAAAGTCAACAAATCATTTCTGTTCAACCTGTGAGGAGCCTCTGGAGATGTTAGGTCATGGCATAGAACAGTTTCATGTCAGAAGCATTGAGAGCTGGATGGAGGGGAGTCGGCAGCCTGACCAGGGAAAGGAAGAGGCTTTCTGAGGACTGGGGAAGCCAGCTGACGTGGGGGGGAAGCAGAAGGGGTGCAGGAGCCATGAGGCGCCTGGGTGGGGGCACTTGGCATGTGAACAGAGTGTGGAAGGCCAGGACAGGGGATGTGATGTGGGCCTTTATGGCTAGAAAGGAAGGGGACTCAGAGCCTATGAAAAGAACCATTTTCTGTGAAGCTCAGGAAGGGCCTCTCACAGGGGATTTCCTACACAGGGCTCCAGGCCTTGGCTGCCTTCCCAGGGAAAGGTGGTGTTTGTCGTGGGGAACTAGCACACTGCATGGCTTTAGTTCAGTGAATAACGGTGCCCACTCCTGTCTCTGGAACTGCCGGTCTCCCTGAGCCTCGTTCAGCTGGGAACAAAATGCTCTTTGCTTGAACCACGCACTTCAGACGTCTTAGTGTGAGACAGGGACATTGAAGTCAGAGAAGAAATGAAATAGAGGGGAATAGAAGCTTTGAATATGGTGGAGTAAAGGGAGGTGAGAGCCACAAAGTACATGCCCTCAAGATGGGACAGAGGGGACTATTTCAAAGGAATGAGTCTTTGGCACAGGGCTTTGATGTCACCCAGAGACTGCTGATTGGCCCCAGACCACAGGTCATGCTGACATGGCTATTTGAAGGAGCTCAGTGTGGTTTAAGGCAAAACCCTTTTGGAAAGAGGAATTTCAAAATAATGATAATAATAATTTAAAAAGTAGTACAATCAATGCCTTTTTCCTCTCTTTCCTAACCCCAATCAAAAAGTACAGTATACACTATTGAAAAATCACATCTCAGAAGCAGTGTGCACCTTCTGACAGCATCTGCCAAGATTTCTGATGAGGCTGATAGAAATGTGTTCCATTTTCATGTTGTATAATGAGTAGATGGAATCCTTGCACATCTGTTCAGGCAAGATAATGATGATACTATTACTAGAGGCATTGTGCCGCAAATATAATCTACCCCCTGCCCATATCCAGCCTCGCTTCTTCTTTTTTCTCTTTTCTCTTTACTGTCCTGTGTCTCCCTTTTTCTCATGTTTACTTTCTTGTTCTCACTTTTCCTCTTCTCTCTTCATTTCTTACCTCACCTCAGTGCCCCAACCAGCTTGTAGAAGTCAGTGGGACAAAGTGAGGAATTCTCATCCTATCAGAGGAAGGGGCTGCTGAGAAGGCACTGTGGCCAGGGCTTAGCTGTGGAGGTCAGGAGAGAGGAGAATCTTTTGGTCTCTTCCCACAGCCCTGGTGATTCCTACTGCAAAAGGCCATCTCTGACTTCAGTCCACTCAGAAAAACCTCGGGACCTGCCCCATGTCCAGCCTCATCAGTAAAGAATCAAGAGAGACATCAATGTGACCAGCTAATCCCTACTAAAGAAACAACAGATGGAAAGAGTTTAATGCATTTAACATTCAGAATATTTTGCATCATAACTGGACACTTTCTGAGTGCATGATTGATTTATGAAAGAATGAAATTTTAATATTGGAATATAAACACAGAAAATCAGAATATGGGGATATATTTCAAGGTCAGAAGGAGCCTTCCTTGTGTTTCTTAAGTCATTTATTCATTCACTCATTTTTATCAACAAATATTCACTCAGCACCTACTATGCACCAGGGAATGAGCTGGCTACTAAGGCACATAGATGGAAAGCTATGATTCCTGTCTTTCAGGGCCTTAAAGTCTACCCCAAGGCAAAGTTTTACCTATCCTAAATATAGCTTTGATTGTGAACAAATCTCCTGTGCGAAGCAGAATCCCCCTGGGAACCCTTCACTATAGAGGTACCTTGGGCACCAATATAAAGATGGGATAGTATAGATTCCTGCATATTGACCCATTAGTTCATCTACCTATCCACTCTTCCATATATCCAACCATTCCCTTTCCAATTCTCACTCACCTATCCACCTATTTACCTATTAATCCATCCATCTCTCTACTCATCTATCTACTCACCCACCTAACTATTCACTCATTTACTCTTTTGCCCATCCGCCTACTATCCATCTATCTACCTATTTATCCACCCATCCATCATCCTTCTGAGCATGCGATAGGAGGTCAATTGTAGCTCAGTGGGGAGCAGGGCATACCTAATCAATTATTATGATAGGGAGCCATGCAAAGACAGAACCCCAGTAGTTGCCTATAGTGTCCATGCCTGACAATTCACAAATGAATGATTCCTAACATTGGGCTGTGATCTGAGAAACAGAGAGAGGATGAATTTCAAGGGCTGGTTAAAAACGTTCACAGGGAGGTGCTTAAATTTAATCAAGATAAGGTTTACCTTTTACCCCAGTCTAGAAGAGAGTCGCCTGGGAAGGCAGGCAGGGCAGTCTATTAACAGTGTTTCATGAAAACCTTCTTTCCACAGAGTTCTTGCTATTGAGATTTTCCTCGATGTGATGGCCCGTTACATCATGAAGGTGCCATTCTGATAATTATTGCTTTCTCCCTGAAAAAAGAAAAACTAAGGATAAGCATTTTGGTGGATAGTATAAATTCCCAGTATACTATCCATTGAAACGATAACCCCCCAATTGGAGGACTCAGTGAAAATCGACACCTAAAATTGTCCCCTTGCTCTCCTAATGTTGTATTCAGGGTTTTTCTATTTGTGGGAATTCTGACTGAAATTTACTCATTTCTAATGTCGACTTGAGCTGTGTCTCTTCTTAAAATTGGCCCCCTCTTCCCATCTGAATGTCAGGTGGAACATTCGTTAGTCGTCTGGAATTAATCTGTCTCTAGCTGAATGAGAGCTGGAAAGAGGAAACGGGGCAGTGATGAGAGCCCTGAGCAGTCAGGAGTCCTGGTTCCCTTGTCTTACTCTGCCGCTGAGTCACCAGCTGACATTGGACAAGGGACTTGGTTTTTCTGAGTTATTGCCTGTCTGCTAAAGGAGAGCAGCATGAGATGCAGAGACAGTGCTAGGAGCACTGGGCCAGGAGACAGAAGCTCCTATCCTCACCTCAACTCACTAAATCCTTGTTGGCTACAGCAAGTTTCTGGGCCTTCTTTTCCGTCTATAAAATGAGGGGAGAGGATATATGATCTTTAAAGTAGTTTATAATACCTGGAATCTTAATTACATTCGTTTATCACATATTTAATGCATGGAACTGATCGTTTTTCCTCTATATGGAAAAAAAGAATCCGAATATCATCATGACACATGACATGGCATTTTGCACTGTTTCATCATTTTGAATTTTAAATATAACATAATTTTAATAAGCTGTAAGTGGTCACACAGAACGACAGAATTAAAGTAACAAGTTCTGTTTCTTTGTCTTTAAAATCACTGTGCTATCGCTGTTTCAAATTTGCAGTCCAAACGCAAGATTCTGTAGTATCTTAGGGTCGGAGACATGACTGTGCTGAAATTAAGCCTGGATAACTCCAAATTGGATATGAACTTACTCAAAACAAATGTGGGCATCTGAGACCACATATATCAAGGGTCAATTGTATCTATAAGAGTTCCTAGGATTAACTTGCACATGGAATGCAATGTTTACTAAATCTGTAAAATAAATAGTAAAAATGTGTTAAGTTGAACTTTACATATATATTAAGACTGAACAGGAATTACAACAATTGCTTAGAACTTAGACCTAAAGATTTGGGTGAGGGAGAAAGTGTTTTTATCACTAACATTGTTTAGAATTATCATGGTGATAGTAAAAAGGCAGACCAATTTTCAGTCAGTTTTATCATTTGAAAAGGTTTTAAATGTGAAGTAATTTTAGATTTACAGGAGAGTTGCACAAATAGAATAGTGAATTCCCATATATCTTTCACTCAGTTTATATAACCATGGCACATTTATCAAAACACAGAAAGTAACATCGGTATTATAGTATTAACCGAACTATAGACTTTATTTGGATTTTAGCAGTGTTTCCATTATTGTCCTTTTTCTCTTGCAGAGTTTAATCCAGGATATCATTGCCTTTAGAGGTTTATCATTGTTTTAAAATTCATTACAAATGATGCAAGCCTTTGGTGCCCACCCCCACAGCTGACCATTCCCACCACCTTGCCCTTGGTACATGCCTAATTACACTAAACTGCTGTAATATTGGGAGCAAGGAGGTCTGATGGCTGCGAAGTTTCATCCTTTGGTGAAAGATGCTGTTGAGCCTGACATAATGTGCTAGACTGCCAGAGCACAAGCACTTACTTCACTTTATCAAGCTGTGGCTCTTTCAGCCAGACACTAACAGTGACTGTTAGGTTGGTGATATTTGCAAGGCTCATGTGCCTAGTGTACAGAAACCAGAAAGCAAGGCTCATTTTGGGCAAAAGTTCCGTGTGTCCTGTGAGGCAAAGAAGCAAAAACATAAAGAGTAAAGAGCCTTGACAAAATCATGGTGCAGATGCTTCTGGGTGCCAGCTCCATGCCAACCCTCCCCTTTTTCCTTGCCATCAGATTTTTTTTTTTTCAATTAATAAATATTTATTGAATCCTACTATATTCCAGGTGTTGTTCTAAGCACTACTGATAGAAACAAAACAAAGATCCCTGTGTTTGGAGCTTGAGTTCTAGCAGGATAGAGCTGAATTAAGTTTCATCACAGGATGTGTTGAACATGAGTATGGGAGCTGTTGGTGCACAAGGACAAGTTCACATTTAAGCTTACAATATGCTTCTAGTAGCCACATTTGGAACTTGCAGATATTAATTACATATATTAACCTATGAGAATACTTACAGCAATTGTGCCAGTAGAATTTTTATTTTGTTTAGGTAAGGGGTAGCCAGGATCTTCAGAAAAGGCTGGCAATTTCTTCAGTCCCTCTGAGGATGACTTTCTGTTGAAGTTAATCCAATCATGTCAGGTCCACTCACCTTGCCAATGACTGGTTTTGGAACAGGCATGTGATGCAATTTTGGCCAATGAGGCATAAGGGATTCCGGGGTTTCTGGGAAAGTTTTCTTCACACTTCAAAATGCCCCTCCTCTTCTTGTCTGAATTTTGGGTCTTGTATGAAGCATAGAATGCCTGGTGCTGTTGCAGCCACTTACTGACGACGAAGGATAAGCCCAAGACAAAAGCAAATACAGAGTGGAAA